AGAGGCCTTTTAAAAATTAATAAATCTCCAGATCATATTAATCCTGAGCTTAAGAAAATATTAGATGATGAGAGATTTAAATTATCTTGGATTGATTATAATGAATTCAGAAATATCCAGGAGGAGGGAAAAGGTGGATTTGCAACTGTATATTATGCATGTTGGTTTGATCGAGTTAATAATTTATGGCAGAATGTTGCACTTAAGGTGATTCGTGATTCAGACGAAAATGAGCAAGAATTTATCCAGGAATTAAAAAATTACTGTGAAATTGGTTACAAGAATCCTTCATTCTTGGAATGTAAAGGAGTATCAAGAAATAATTATGGTGATTATATTATTGCTTTGGACTATGCACCAACAGGTTCATTACGACAAAATCTTGTAAAAGTATCGCAATTAGAATGGAAAGATAAATTGAGTCTATTGCACTGTATAGCTTTGGATCTCGAGTCAATTCATTTACAAGAGCTTGTTCACAGAGATTTGCACAGTGGAAATATTTTGCAATACTTTGCTTTGCATAATGCATATATTACAGATCTTGGACTTTCTAGAAAAGAAAAGGAAGGAAAAATTTGTGGAATTCTGCCGTATATAGCACCTGAGATTTTGATGGGTCAATCGTATACTCAAACGTCAGATATTTACAGTCTTGGAATTATCATGACAGAAATTTCGACCGGACAAAGAGCATTTGATGGAATTCCATTTAATGATAGTCTTGTATCAAGAATAATCGGTGGGTCAAGACCTAAATGTTTAGGACCTGATTGTTATATTAAATTAGCTATGAAATGTATGGATAAAGATCATGATAAACGACCTACTGCAACTGAAATTATTGAAATAACCACTCATTGGTTGGATGAAATAGATCAAGAGGATGATAATGAAATTAAAAAACAAATTTTGCAAGCTGATAAGATTAAACCAGAACCAATTGAACAAATACATTCACAAGACATATATGCTAGCAAGCTATTTGATACTAAGGCAATTTCAAATTATTTTAGCAAGATTGAATGATCAAGATTATTTTTTATATTATATAAAGTACGTGTTTATGTTTAATCTACTTTTTATTATCTTATTAAATGTTCTTGTAAATTTATTCGAAATATTAATACAAACATTCTCCCAAATAATAACACAAGTTTACTGATAATTTTTTTAAAAAACGGATTAGTTTTTAGTACAGATGATGCAATTAGAGGGGATGACTATATGAAGTTTAACTGTACGAAATTTCTATTCATCCATGAGATGCCTGACTTAATAAGAGTGCAATTCAATACACCAGCTCACATTCTCAGAATTCTAATATACCAGAGTAATTTCTTCTACTTGTCTTGTCTATATTTTAAAAAATGTTCTTTATTGATTGTAATAATTGCATTTTTTCAGCGTCAACTCTACACTAAAAAGTAAAACTTTGTGTAATAGATTATTTTCTAAATATCATATAAGCCAATATACCTTAAGAATTATTTATTTTTATATTGTCATTATTCAAATTGAAAATACATCAATGTAAATAAATTATTATGTGTAAAAGAAAAATTAATATAAATATTTTATCATAACACTTAAATAATTTCGGTTTAATGTGCTACAGATACGAGTAATTAAAAGTGTGAAGGATAAACTCGTAAGTCCTGAATAATTCCTTACCTCTTAAATAACCGAAATAGTTACTAATTAAAACTTCTGCCATTCAATCTTCTTTGATCTCGATTTCCGATATTCATGATTATTGTGTTTAAACTACTGTTACTATTGTAGGGAGAGCGAATGCAATATAAGTTCCAATTTAGCTCCAATAGTAAACTTAACGGGTTTATAAGTATCGTTCGTTAAGGCTTAAGCACGTGAGTTAAGGTCACGATTTAGGCAGACTAGGATCGGGTCCTTACTAAATCAATCCCGATTTGGATTATGCACGTAATTTGATAACCTTGGTATTTTAATAATGACGTTGGGTTAGGATAGTGGTTGGGGAACAATGGGACGGGTCTATACTAAGAAAAGGGCGGATAAGTTTTTAAGGCAATAATGCCGGTTGGAGTTAACAATGGTAATTATTAAGATAAGACGGTAAAAATAGATAGCACTTCTTAGGAATAATACGAAAGTAATAATAATACGAATAAAAAAATAATAAAAAAAATGAAATGGGTCATTCGATAAAAAGTTTTTTCATAAATATGAGAAGTCGATTCTTATCTCTACTTTATCAAAGACATCGAAGTCTGAGAAAACTTTATTAGCGAAAAATGAAAGCCTTTAAATATATTTTTCTATCCTATAAATTACTGCCCAAGGACGTCTAATTTCTTTAAACCTTGGTAAGGCTTTCCCGGCCATGCTCCACAGGTTGTTACAACCCGCGTTGGAAAAGCCTCTTCTAAATATTACTCATAATTATCGGTACAAATATTTGCTACAATCTTTGGTCTAAATATTTACTACATTTACCAGTCCCTCAGTTGATGGATGATTCATTATTACACATATAAAAATAAAAATAATAAATAAATAACTAATTAATTAATTAAACTCCTAAATCCTGTGTCACGAAACCCGTGACACTACGTTTGGCACCTCTTGAAAATGTATTTATTACAAACATATTGCTGTTGTTATGAACAATAATTAGCGATTTTTATTATAGCTTGTGTTGCAATTGTTTTGAATATTTAGCAACATCTGAATCATCACCATTAATATTTAAGAATATAGGTAATCATTTTGTAATAAAGAATAGACCATAAAATGAGGTCGTTTGTGTTGGTAATAGTAACGTATTTAAAAGGTTATGCTTACACACGATAGTAAAATAGTTCATTTTAATTAAAATAGGAGACCTGTTGTTCAAGTTTATCACAACATATGAGAACATTATTACATGTTTGAGCCATATGATTCAAATCTGTTACAAGAAGCATGTGAGGAATTTCAATTAAAATTTAATCCAGCGCATGTCTTAATCGTTTGGAAGCATAGATTGCGAAATCGTAAATCTTGATTAGAAAAAACCTTAACAATGGGTACATATGGGGCTAGTCAATAGAAAGGATAAGTTTTTTCTAAGTAAAGGTTAAGTAAAAGTTTTTAAACTTAAATTAAATATTTAAATATTTCAACAATTAATTAACTGAATTTAATAAAATTTTTTTTATTTAATTCTATATATATAAAAAATTAAACTAAAAAAAAATTATTAATTTGATCTGGTAGTTATTGAGATATTTTAATTTAAATTTTTTTAAAAAAAGTTACTAACCACTTTTTCCCTTTTTCTATTGACAAGCACTCATATGTAAAATTCAAAATTTTTAATTTTATTGATTTTCTGAATAGTGAGGATGATAAATTACAAAATCTTCCAGTAATTTAGTGGGTTTAAGAATTGATTTTTTTTAAAAAAAGTGTGAAATCAACTTATTATACGTACTTTATAAACTGCGATGGGTAAAAATAGGTTATTAATGTATCTAAGTATCTTGCAGAAGCTAAGATGCTAGTTTTAAATAATAAATTTCATTCTTGTATTAAATCCTTTGAGCTAATGAAAGTGGCCTATATTACAGTTTATTTATACTAGTCTGGTAAAAATTAACAGATGTTGAAATATCAGCCCTAAAAGGAATTTTAATATTGTTAAAATTTAGATGATTGTTATCAAAATTTAGATTAATAATCTTTAGATTTGGAGAATTTATATAAATTATATCTTGATTGAACTTCAATTACGAATGCCACTTTTTTTAAATAAAAGGCGTATCAAGAATGCGTCATTATCTACATTCTCATTCCAATAGGAATTAAATACCTTGACGTTTGGTAGATATATACGCGTAGCAAATATCTTTTTATGCAAGTACAACATTTTTGTAATTGTGAAATTTATTCATTAATTAATTGATATTCTTATGTAAGCCTACTGTCAAGTATCCTTGTCATGTCGTAATATTTTGGCTGTTATACATCACGAACTTTTGTTTATAAAATTACTAGGTACATGAATCTACATAATTTTATGTGGCTTTACATAATATCTTATAAATATTTATGCATTCTACGGGCCTTCAGTAATATTACACAAAAAGTAGTATAAATTTATATAAATTTTTAAGTGACTTTACGCTTACTTAAATTTATATCAAACAATTACATAATACTATTGTCACCTATGTAATGTTACGTATATATATGGACCTTCGAAGTTTGTGATGTAAAAGCATCAAATTTCTGAATCATTCATGCAAAAACAAAATTTTACACAATATTTTATTCATTTCAGTCAGTCTGCCTTAATGGAATTAGCAAAGAAATTGGTAAGAAATAAATACATTGATGTTTAAAATCCTATGCTAAATGAAGTTTTCTAGTTATTTATATCAATGCTAAACATATGTAGCATTTAATGAAATTCAGAACATTAAGGTTAATATTTAAGCATTAGTAGCCCTCTTTAAATAAAATAGTACATTATTGATATTATATTCATGAAGAACCCCTTTTGAGTTCAATCCTTTGTTTTAATTTTCGAACAGATCCAGGATTAATCAAATTTCACGATTTTGATTGGTTATAACGGGTGACTATCGGGTAATCTCGTGATGTGTTGGCCCTACGCAGCCTTGTGTAATTTTTCCTTTATATTATCTTGATTTTTTATTATGCAAACGACTTTCATTTATAATTGAAAAATGTCAATCCTGTTAAAATTTATATAAATCTAATAAAAGCTCGTTTCCAAAAAAAAATTGTAAAAATGGGCTGTTTCTATTGACATCACCCCCATATGTTGTGACATTTTTTTATGCTTATCCACATCAATAAACTTCAATAAGTTTATTATCCTATAATATAGATTTTTTACAGAGCAATTTCCAAAATTACAAGTTCGAATGCATTTGTGCTGATAAATTATTAGTTACTTAACGTTAACGAACGCAATGAATCAAATCTGCACAGCTTAAGAAATTGAAGAATCACTGTATCAATTCTGGAGAGTTCAACCAAACTATGTCCTGCTGATTATTAGTCTTCGAAATTTTTTAAAGATTGTATTACGCGACGGGAGAGTAATTTTACAAAAAAAAAAAAGCATTACTTTAAAGATCTTATTCAAGACTACAATTGCAATGGATTTATTTTTTGCTATATTCAAAAATTCATCAAGGAGTTACGTCTTTAGATGATTTGCACCATATAATTGATAAAATTTCTGTTTTTGGTACACTAAAGTTCAACATGCATGCAACAGAAACGAAAAATTTCTAAATCTACTCTCTTGATACGATAATATAAATAAGCTAATGAATAAATTAAGAATATAATTATTTTGATATAACTGTTGTATCACTTTGATGAAGCATTAAATGTTCCATTCGCTACACTCTAGACAATTAAAGTATCAATTTTATTTTAGAGCACGAATTTTTTTTCCTTTAAAAAAAAAAAAAAAAAAAAGAACCCTGGACAACTTTGTGAACTTGCTGAAAAATTTCGAGTTGGTGATGGTGTTAAGAAAGACGAAAAGAAAGCTTTTGTATATTGTATGAGAGCAGCTGAGTTAGAAATTTAAAAGCGACGAATTGTGTTGGTGGTTATTATTCTTTGGAATTGGAGTAAAAACAAATTGCCAGAAATCTTTTGAATATTGTAAGAGAGCTGCGGATTTGGGTGATGCTATGGCAATGAATAATGTCGGCTATCATTATGCAAATGGGAGAGGAGTTGAACAATATTATGAAAAAGCAGCCAATATGGGTATGAGTGGAGCATTGATTAATCTTGCTCAAAATTATCGAAATGGTATCGGCACAAAGAAAGATATTCAGAGTGTAAATTATTGGTTTGCAAAATATAGAAGTCTTTTGAAAACTAATAAATCTCCAGATCATATAAATCCTGAACTTAAGAGAATATTAGATGATGAGAGATTTAAACTACCCTGGATTGATTATAATGAAATCAGAAATATCAAGGAAATAGGAAATTGAGGATTTGCAACTACAGTATATATTACGCATGTTGGTTCGATAAAATTAATAGTTTATGGAATAATGTTGCACTTATGGTAATTCGTGATTCAAACGGAAATGAACAAGAATTTATCCGGGAATTAAAAAACCACTGTGAAATTGGTTACAAGAATCCTTCGTTCTTGGAATGTTTTGGAGCATCAAGAAGTAATTATGGTGATTATATTATTATTCTGGATTATGTGGCAAAAGGTTCGTTACGGTAAAATCTTGTCCAAGTATCGCAATTAGCATGGAAAAATAAGTTAAATCTCTTGAACTGTATAACTTTGGATCTAGAATTGATTCATTCGCAAGAACTCGTTCATAGAGATTTACACAGTGGAAACATTTTGCAACAGAATGCTTTGCAAGTCGCATATGTCACAGATCTTGGACTTTCTAGAAAAGAAAAATTGTCGAATTCTGCCATATATGGGGACCCCCACAGCAAAAGAAGGGGCTGGCCAGAAGAATTTTTTTTAAAAAAATTCAATATCTTGAAGAATTAGATTAATTGGAATAAAATTATCATAAGAATAAATTTTCTAATTTTTTGACCCAGCCCCTCTTTTTGCTGTGGGGGGTCCCATATAGCACTTGAAATTTTGATGGGTCAACTGTATACTCAAGCGGCAGATATATACATTCTTGGAATTATAATGACGGAAATTTCAACCGGACAAAGACATTTGATGGAATTCCATTTGATGATTATCTTGCTGCAAGAATCGTTTATGGATTAAAGCCTAAATGTTTAGCAACCGTTTGTTATATTAAATTAGCAATGAAATGTATGAATAAAGATCATGGTAAACGACCTACTGCAACAGAAATTATTGAAATAATTACACATTGGTTAGATGAAATGGATCAAGATAATAATGAAATCAAAAATCAAATTTTGGAAGCTGATAAGATTAAAATAGAACCAATTGAACAAATACGTTCTCAAGACTTATATACTAGCAAGTTACATGATACGAAAAAAATTTTAGATTGCGTTAGTAAATCAATTGGTACAGTAGAAATCCCGAGGAAATTCTCAAATTCATTTTTAAATTAAATTATATAAAGTATGTAATAATTTTTATTTCTGCTTTATATTAGCATGTAAATGAATTTTTTCGAAATATTAATATAATCATTCTCCTACATAGCTACAGAGTTTGGCATAAAATCGATAATTTTTAAAAATGTAGCTTATAAGGAGTTGTATGTTTTTTTTTTCTTCTTATAACATAAACTCATGACTGTATATGAAGGTTAACTGCACAGCTACTATTCATACATACGTTTCCTGTCTTAGCAAGTATCAATTGAGACACAGCTCAGGTGCTAAAACATTAGAATAATTTCTTTTATTACTTAACATAGCGCTTTATTTGTTTTTATTTGTCTTGTATATATTTAAAGAAGCATTTCATTAATTGTGATAAGTGCTTTGTTTGTAGCTTTTTCAACGTCAATTCTGGCTTAAGCGCAAACCTTTATGTAACTGGTTACCTTTCAAGAATCAAATAAGCAGATATACACTAAGACTTATTGTTTTTGTATATATAATAAAAATATATTGATGGAGAATAAATTTAAATATTTTATATGCGTACTATAACATAATGACAGTTAAATTATTTCATTTTAACGTGCTATAGAAATATGAGTAATCAAAAATGTGAAGAATTACACACGTAGGTCTTAAAAATTTCCATCTTTCTTAACAATCCGAAAAAATAGTTATTAATAAAACTTCTACTATTTAAATTTTCTCCATTGATCTCGATTCCGATATTTATGATCCTTTCATTTAAACTGCGTTTGCCAACTCTTGAAAATAAATTTTGTCTTAATTATAAACATTTTGCAGTTGTTATGAACGACATTTACAATTTTTATTACTATCATGTGTTGCATTTGTTGTGATCAATATTGCAATATTTGAATCATATAAATTTCATACCTTGAATGTAGACAATCGTTTTGGTAATACAGAATAGACCATAAAAGGAGGCTGTTTGTAATGGAAATAATAACTTATTTAAAAGGTTTCGCTTACAAGGAGATTAAAATGGTTTCATTTTAATTACAATAGGAGACCTATTATTCGGTTGCATTTGAGAACATGATTACCATAAGATTCAAAACTTTTATATGGTGCACGTGAGGAATCTTCAATCAAAATTTGATCCAGCGCACGTCTTAATCGTTTGGAAGCATCGATTACGGACATGTAAATCTTAATTAGAAAAAAAACTTTATCAATGGGTACATATGTAAAGTTCAAATTCTTAATTTCATTAATTTCCTAAATAGCGAGGAATAATTGGATTATAAAGTACTGGTGAATTTTAGTTAGCTTTAAGAGTTAATTTTTGTTTTAAAAAAAAAAGCGTGGTTTTAAATAATAAACTTCATTCTCATAGTAAATATTTTGAGCTATTGAAATTTGCCTATATTACACCTTACTTTTCCTAGTTCTGTACAAAATTAACTGACGTTGAATTATCAGCCTAAAGGTATTAATATTATGAAAATTTAGATTATTTTTATCAAATTTTACTTTATTAATAATCTTTTAGATTTGGAAATATATCTAAATTGAACTCAATTACGGATGCCGTTATATTCATATTACAATTTAACGCATATGAATGCTAAATTTACCCACTTTTTTTAAATAAAACGTGTATCAAGGAATGTGTCATTATCTACAATCCATAATTCTATGCTTACCAATAGGAAATTAAATATCTTGACGTTGGTTAGATATTTACGCGTTACAAAGGAATAAGACGACTTTCTCGTAATTATGATTTTTTTATGTAGGCTTACCATATTTGTTTTTCCTGATTTTGAATTTTGCTCAAGTATCTTTGTCATGTCGTAATATTTTAGCTGGTAAAAAAAGTATTAAATTTCTGAATCACTTATGCAAAGATATTGTAACAAAAATTTTACACAATATTTATTCATTTCAGTCAGACTGCCTTAATGGACTTACCAAAGAAATTTGTGAGAATGAATACTATGATATAATATCAGTTACAGTGCACCCATCTCTAACTCCCTTTAAGCAACTCAAGCGCCTAGTTGTAATAGGAATGTTTTATTTTAGCACTGCGGATTGTCGATCTGTTTACATGTGATCAACCGTTCAAACCCAATTATCTCAAAATTGTTTATATTTCCGTAAGAGCTGTTTCTACTGCAAAGGCCCCATATAGTCATCCCCTCTAACTATATCATATGTTATAAAAAATTTTATTACATATACACAACTCTTTATAAGCATGTTTTTTAAAAATTATCAGTAAACCTGTGAGATTATATGTGAAAATGTTTTGTATTAGCATTTCGAAATATCAATTTGAACATCTAATATAAAGCTAAAAATAAAAACAAATACGTACTTTATATAATTTAATTCAAAAAATAAGCTTAATCATTCGCTCTTGCTAAAATAATCTGAAATTATTTTCTTATCATATAGTTTGCTAGTATATTTGTCTTGAGAATGTATTTGTTCTATTGGTTCTGGTTTAATCTTATCAGCTTCCAAAATTTGTTTTTTTGATTTCATTATCATCATCATCTTGATCTATTTCATCTAACCAACAAGTGGTTATTTCAATAATTATTGTTGCAGTAGGTCGTTCTTCGAGATCTTTATCCATACATTTCATAGCTAATTTAATATAACAATCTGGTCCTAAACATTTAGGTCTTGATCCACCGATTATTCTTGATATAAGATAATCATTAAATGAAATTCCATCAAATGCTCTCTGTCTGGTCGAAATTTCTGTCATGATAACTCCAAAACTGTAAATATCTAATGCTTGAGTGTATGGTTGACCCATCAAAATCTCAGGTGCTATATATGGCAGAATTCCACAAATTTTTCCTTCCTTTACTTTTCTTGAAAGTCCAAGGTCAGTGATATTTGCGTTATGTAAAGCAGCATATTGCAAAATGTTTCCACTGTGTAAATCTCTGTGAACGAGTTCTTGCGAATGAATTGACTCGAGATCCAAAGCTATACTGTGCAAGAGACTCAATTTATCTTTCCATTCTAACTGTGATACTTGAGCAAGATTTTGTCGTAACGAACCTTTTGCCGCATAATCCAAAACAATGATATAATCACCAAAATTATTTCTTGATACTCCAAAACATTCCAAGAATGAAGGATTTTTGTAACCAATTTCACAGTAATTTTTTAATTCC